TCTGTAGTTTTTGTTGGTTTCTTTTAATTAATTTTTAACACAAAGCGTTTGAAATGGTTCTCAGGGCAGGCTTCGTTGTCTGGCATGCCGGACCTTTTCCATGGTGCAGGGGAGACCCGCACAGTGCTGCATTATTCCAGAGCCCGTGATTTTTTGCATTGCAGAGGTGTTTGCAAAGGCACTGAAGGCTGATTTATTCTCGTAGGGTTGTTGATGATGGCTGAACAGCTGTTAGTATTTATTCTTTTTAAAAATCGGTAGCATTGGATGCGGTAATTCAATCTGGTACCTCAACCCCCTGTCTGTGGCAAGCCAGAGCCCCTGATCGCTGAGGAGGCCAGGACAGGAGACGAGAGGGACTTCCTGAAATCCAAGTGAGCAGCAGAGCTGCCAGGGCACTGAAGTCCCATCTCTGCTCTGTGGAAAGCCCCACGGGAGCTTCACAGGGGTGGCCACCCCCCCCCCCCCATCCTGAGCAGGGAAGACTGGGGAGATGAGGTGAAACTGGGAGAAAACTAGAGTTTTGAAGTTTCTTCTTTCGCAGTTTCTGTATCTGTGCATTTGCATCCGGTGTACGCTGGAGAAACTGGGGAAGTTACAGCCCTTTTTCCATTAGTGGTATCTCAGCTGTACCTGCAGCAATGGAGGTCAAGCGTTTCAGGCAGGAGATCATTTTTGGGAGGGTCCCGCGTGCGACAGGTGACCGTGGACTGGGCTAAAATAGGAACCTTTGCAGCATTGTCTAAATCAACTAAATATGACATTTAATAAGTTACTGGGGAAAACCCAGTGTCACTCCCAGTTTGCCTCTTCCACCTTACTGTCGCCCGCAGCACACCGTCCTTGCGGTTTGAGCGAGCAGGTCAGTGAAGCAGAGAGGACCTGGCTTGGGGTGGTGGTGGTGGGTCAGAGGACACAATTAACACTTTAAGCGCAGCCTTCCCTTGCCCCAGCACAGCCCAGCTCCTTCTCAGCACGGGCACAAGAGGGTTTGAGAGCTGAAGTTGCAAAAGCAGCCATCCTGTGTCAGACCACAGGTCCGCCTAGCCAGATTGTGGCTCGTGGATGAGTAAAAGTGTGGTGAGCCCACGGTGATGCATTTAAATCCATATTTCAAAGCTTTTCTATGCCCTCTGCTTCAACGTAAAGTCTGTCCACCTCCAAAATAGTCACGAAAAATGTCATTGGTAAGGTAGATTATCCCCGTTTACAGATGGGGAAAGCCCCCACCAGTTTAAGTGGTTGGCCCAAGGTCAGCAGCAGAGCTGCCAATGTGCCTCATCTTTTGTGAGTCATGGTCCAAACTTCAAATGATCCCCTGGAAGAATGATCCTTGCTTGAATTCCAGAGAACTGTAGAGGTTAAGACGGAAAGCAGGAGTGTTTGAACAGCGCAGTGGGATTAATCCTTTCAGCAGCTGAAGCTGGGAGAGCGCGGGGTGGAAGGCTTCCTCTGTTACCGATAAAATTGTGGCATTTGTTTTTAATCTAAAGCAGAAGCCATCTAGGCTAGAACTGTATTTTTTTTTTTCCTTTTGGGAACGTGAATCCTAGCAGGAAGGAGCAAAAATTTCATTAAGGAAAAAAGCAGGACTCCTGAGATTCCCAGATGTGGAAGCAGGGAGTGTTCCTGCAGCGCACAAAAGGCAGACCGAATTCTGAGGTTTGCAGACATCGTGCGAGTTTGCAAGCTCGCTATTTGCCTTAGAGTTTCAGTGCCTTTAGGATTCACGCTTTCAAGCTTCCCCCCCCTACTATTAGGATTAGATCTTTCCTGCTTTATTTTTTAAGTGAAAATTGAAAATTTTTCTCATGATCACTTGACTCCAGGAGGTAGAGCTTTAAAAATATCCTCTGTTGCCAAACCGGCAGGAGTGTCATGAAACTTGGTAACAAACTGTTCCAGTGGGTTTGGGAGAGCTGCAAAATACCTTTTCATAGTAGCAGGGAGGCAGGACGGGAAGTTATTTTAAACTTCAGCCGACAGGGTTTAGTACCTACGTTGGTCCTGCTTGATTTTCAACATATATTTGGGTTGGAATACCAGTAAAGCTGTCACGAGGATATAGTCCTCAAAGGACTCCCCGTGCAGTTCTGTCCTTCCCAGGTCTAGCCCAATTTCTCTTCTGAGGATGGCCCCCAGGTTTTCACAGCAGAGCCCCCACTAAAATCGGTGGCACTGATGTGAGTAAATTGGCCCCCAAGGCCGCTTTGGCAGCCTTACCCCCGCATGGCAGTTACTCAGAAGCAGCACTTGGACATTTAGTTTTCAGCATGAGACGCCGTTCCACGTGCGTGAAGTGTTGCTCTGTCGCAGTGTCACTGAAACTGCTTCCAGAGCAGAGAGTGGGGTTTGCTGGGAAGAGGCATGTTTTCTAACTAGCTTTTGGATTGTTTCTCTGAACCAGTGAGATGCTTCTGAACTTTATTTCAGTGTGCCAGGAGAGGTTTTGCATGCTGGGTCTCCGTATCTTTGGGTGCGATTAGATCCCTAGCTCCCTGCCTTCCCTCACAATGACCCAGGGCTCAACCAGGCCAAAGGCAACACGACCTAGTCCATCTCGGCAGCAAGTGCCATGATGGAGAACCCCTGCCTGTGGGAAGGAGCTGGGGAAAAAGCACGCAGAGCTGCTCCCAGGCCTGCTGCCTCTCCCGGGGGTTTCTCTGTGTCCGTAGCTGGACCTGGCTGGGGTCACTGAAATGCCCTTCTGCAGCACCCGGGGCTGCTCGCCCTTAGGACCAGCCCTGCTTTGACCCCAGCCGAGCCACCCTGGGTGCTGCCGGTGACGCGGGACCACCCGGCCCGTGTGTGCCTGGACGTGCCCTCCCCCCTGGGGGGCATCAGGACATGAGAAACGCGAGCTGACAGCCGTGCTCGCTGGGTTTCGCTTCAGCTCTGGCACGCCAGACGTTAAATTGACTCGAGGCTGGCTCCTTCAGGCCACGGGAGCAGCGCCGAGCTGGCAGGAGGGGTTATCTCGCCTCCTTGGCAGGCTCCGGCGCGTCCCTCTGGTCTCCTGACGTCCAAAAGGAGGTCCCACGTTGGCGATGCGGCGCGGGGGACAGGGAGGAGATAGCGTGGGCAGAGCAGGCAGGACGCCCCGATCCATCCCGGCCCTGGCGCTCGCTCGTTCAGGCGAATGGGCTGCACTGGGTTTCCTGCCCTGGGAGGCGCCCGGCGCTGCCAGGACGTGGCGTGAGCACAGCCTGGGCTTGCAGCTCTCTGCCACGCTCAGCGTGGGGCCGCTGCCCCCAGCGAGTCCTGCCCCGCTGCCGGGAAAGGGGCATCTCGTCATTTAAACTTTTAAACAAACATTTGCTGCCCTACACCCCCCTGCGTAGGGTCCCTGCACAGAGCACCGTTGTGAGCAGGGTGAAAAGTCCGGCTTTTTACTGCTTTGGGGTTTTTTTATACCCCAAGTTTGCAGCATCATTAATATTCTGCTAGGTAAGAGATGGGTTTTCCTCAAACGTCTTGGCTTCTTGGCCTTTATAACTCACTATAGGATGGCAAAACGCGGGAGCTGGAAGAAGTGGTTTAGCAAAACGTGATACTGGTGAGGAAAGCAGGGAAGGAGCATGGGCAGGTTTAGGCTTTTTTACTTTACTGATTTACAGGAACACAGTGCTTTACGACCCGTTTAAAACCAAATTTAAGCTGAATAATGGGAAAGTAGTAAAAACTATTAACACTGAAAGGAAGGCTGAAATACCAGGTTAACGATGCAGTTCGTTTTCCATCTACTGCTCTGTTGGCGTGGACAGTTTCACTGTTTATAGGTAGATGTATTTTTATGTTTGAAAGTCTCCAGTATTTGGGGCTTTAAATGCTGAGGAGAAAAGTTGCTTCATTTTACATAACAACTTAGGTGATGTGTGTAAGATAGCAGTATTTCTGTCTGCTTTAAGCTTTCTTTAATGTTTGTTTACAAACTATGCTGAGCCCATTCTGAGCTGATCAGGGTTATTTTAAGCAGGTTTTATTTGAGGGAAAAGGTAACAAAAGGAGGCACTTGATCCTTGTGTGCAGAGCACGATCTTCTTCAAAGACACAGAGACCAGGAGGCAGCGTTATCTTTTAGTTTACAAGTTCGATGTTTGGTTTTCATTTGATGATGGGAAGAAAATTGAGTGTGCTGAAAATGCAGTTACCCTTTTTCATTGCTTTTTGCAGTTTGTTCCAGTGTATTCAGTGCCCAGGCGTGCTTGGCACCCTCCCCAAAGCTGCCCTCGGCCCCCCCCCAGGTTTTAGGAGACTTGTTCAGCTGGTCTGATCTCAGTGTGGTTTAGGGCTCAGAATCTCGGGATGCTGAGCTAGGGCGTCTGCCCGAGCGAGAAAGGCTTTTCGTGTGAAATGATGAGGAAAGCTGCTGTGAAATGAAAATCGATGCTCATTCACAAACCCTGGCCTGGGAAGTTCACAGAAAACTCAGTGCCACGACTCCGTCAGCCTGGGCTGAGGTTCACGTTCATTCAGATTCCTGAACCAGACCTATCCTGACCTTCTTGAATCAGTCACCTGTAAAGGGCTTATCCCTCCTCCCGGAGGTTTTCTCCTGTTTTCCCCAGCTGATGGTGTGTGGGAACTGGGACAAGCAGTGCTTTACACTAATAACTGGTTTTCTTTAGGTTGGTCTTTTTTACATACGTGCATCTTGGTTCAGAGCACTTGGCAGCATTCCACGGTCCTGTTGCCCTTTCACATGATTATTTTATATTTTGGATCAAAACTGTCAACACTTGAAATCCCTTTGCTTGCTTGAGGAACTTGGCAGCGTACGGGGAACCATTTGGGGCTGGTTGCACCAGCCTAAAACCGGACTGTCTGGGCTGTAAGCTGTTGTGGACACCACGGTGCGTTGCCGGCAAGACCATCGCCGTTGCTGTAAGGAGGGCCTCGATCCAGTATCTCCCAGTCGTGCAACTCAAGACCCAGCCTACCGGTTGGCTTCCCGGTGCTTTTATGAATAAACCTGTTGCTCTCCCCTCTTCTCCTCGCAGCTGTGGGTAAACCAAGAAGATGGAGTGGAGGAGGGAACCAGCGATGTGCAGAACGGCCATTTGGATCCAAGCGCCGACTGCCTGTGTCTCGGCAGGACCGTTCAGAACCGAGACCAGATGAGAGCCAACGTCATCAACGAAATCATGAGCACGGAGCGCCACTACATCAAGCACCTCAAGGACATTTGCGAGGTACAGGGGGGTTGTGGCGCTGGGGTGCTGCAGCAGGACGTGGGATGGGCTGTTGAGAGCCGAGGACTGGATTTGTCCTTGGGTGATGGGGGAGAAAGAGGCCGTGTGTTTGAGTACTGTGTCTAATAGAGGAGCAGCGTCTGTCAATAACTATTGATACTTCCGAGAATTTTCTGCTGGATCTGATAATTACCTTTAGTTTGTATTAACTGAAAGTACGATTTTCTGACCGTTTTTCCATACCTCTTTGACTGAAAAATGATGAGGTTGAGATCCTTCAAGCAGTCCTCTTAATTAAAACCCAATGCCATCTACTTTTGAATTTGTGATTGAGGAAATTAGGTTGTAATTAAACCAATCAGTTACCCATTTCATCTGTCTTTCACATTGGGTTCACAATTTCCTCTGGCTCAGGATGGCCCCCGTTTGCCTTTTCTTACGGTGAGACTGAGAGCAAAATGTTTTCACCGTGGGAAATGCAGTACGTTACGTTTATCCAGGGTAAGGGATAACAAGCAGATGAAGTTTGGTGACCGACCCCGTGCATCCTCAACATGGTTCTTCTTCATTAGGTTACAATGAACCACTACACCCCCTTCCTGTCCTGCAGAATTAGTGCCATGAGCTAAGCCCGGAGTGCGGTGGTGCTCAGAGAGGAGGACGCACGGCTGCGCCGGAGAGTGTTGCAGCGCAGCTTGGGCATGATGCGTAGAGCATATACTTGTCACTGAGAGGCAGAAGTTTCTTAGCACTGAAATCAAAGTCTATGGCTTTTGGCTCACCCCTCTGAATGTTTAGGATCTAGTGAGCCTGTGCCCAGTCTTTGCAGAGTCAATGTGGTGAAGCCTCTTGTGAATTCTGCTTAGAAGAATGGCTTCCTCCTTCATACTTGCTACTTTGCTATGGGGAAGGCAACGCAGCCGTCCAAAAAGCATCTATGACGCTTTTCAAATATGAAAGAGTCTTGGGATTTCAATTTAGAAACAAATGAGCTTAATTTCACTGTGCTATTTCAGTCAGAGGGCTTGCATTGAGGAAGGGAAGAACTGCAGGAACTTTTCCACACGTTGTTTCTTTTCCTGCATTTGCACTTTTCTGTTGACAAACTGAATAAACCTTCACTTGCATTTCCCAGCCATGTCACCTTGCTTTTGTCAAATCTGATTCTCTGGAGGTACAGATAGGTGTAGCTTCGGTGACATCTGTGGGGTAAAGCTGATTTGCAGCACCTAGTGATATGTCCCAGATATGAAAGTGATCTCTAAGGCTCTTTCTTTGCTCTGTGTGATGCAAAATGGTATTGAGGGGATAAATCTTACTTCCAGGTAGAGCACCAGGCCATGATTCAGCTGCCTCTCTTAAAGAAGGAGGAGGACTGAAATGGACATTCTCATCTGCAAAATGATGGGCTCTCCTTGCTGGAGAGAGCCTCATTGTGCTCAGTTTAATCAGAGCAATCCATTTGCCTCGGGAAGGCTCGGAGACAGCTCAGTCATCCCAGGCCTTTCGGCAGAGCGTGTCGGGACTGTTTCTGTGTGTGCCTAAGACGAGCTGGGCTGGAGATGGAGAAACACGGGCTGGCTTGAGCTGCTCCCAGTGCCCCTGGATGAGTTTGTCCAGAGGTGTTATTTGTGCCGAGGAACAAGTAGACGCCAGACAAGTGCTGATGCGATACAGAAGTGCTGTTGACCGTGGCAAACTCCCCTCTTCCCTTTGCTCTTTATCTTGAGGTGTCGGGACAAACAGGGGTGATATGACTTATTGGAGGGGACGAAGGAGGAGTTCTGGCTGGGTGGCAAAGGTTGAGCCTGATTTAGCGCTGAGTTTAGCAGTGTGTGGTTATGCTCTTGTTGCTGAACTGTAATGGATAACAAATCCTGATCCCAGGGAGGCACCTTAAGATGTGTGGCTGTTACCGGAGGACCGTAGCCCCTGCTAGCTGATTAAGAACCCTTCAACTGCGCTTCTCTGCTTCAGGATGTATTTCCACTACCTGCTACTGTATTATTATACACCATGTTATTATTCATAATACCCACGGCACTAGCCCTGCCAAGTCAGGAGCTCAGAGGCTAGCCAGCTCCAGAATGAAAACGACCCGCGCGAGCCAAGGGCTGCGTGAAGCAGCCGGCCC